GAAGAGGGGACTTGGGACGGGAGGTTGTATTGCAGCATCGCTGATGCATCTTGGGTTTACTCTGGTCCTCCTCCTCATCCTCCTCCTGCTTATCTTCGGTGGCCGTGTTGACTCGTGCTGCGACGGGTCCTTCTCCACGTGGAGCGTTCCCTGTATGTGCCAGGTAACACTTTGCAAAGGGACAATAGGTCATCGTCATCATCACCACCGCCATTATAGCATTATCATTATCATCGCAATCATCACCGTCGTCGTCCACTGCACAGTCCACTTCGTCACCAACACTATCATCATCACCCTAATTACCAGCATCACCATAGCTGGGAGCTGGCGCCGTCGTCCACCTCGTCGTCGCCCGCATCGTTGTCCGCACCCCACAGAATCATTGGACTTGTTGCCACCACCCTCGTGTCGCATCCTGTTCCAGGAGGGCCCCTAAGGCGGCCCGAAAGAGGGCCCTAAGAGGACCCCCAAGAGGGCCTGAAGCGGCCCAGATTATTGATTTCTCATGCGCGTGTGACTGCCTTGTGTGCACAATGAGCACACCAATTAAGAGATCGACCTGCCGGCGCGCGCCCCGTGAGAGTGTCTTACTAATCTCCCGACGTGGCCGCGGAGCCGTGGGGGCACCCTACGAAGCCCAGGGCGTCGACGAAGGGTGTGCCCCCCGAATTTCTGGTAGCACTGTTTTGTGACGCATGTGCCTGCTGCATTTCACCTTCAGGGCCCCTGAGTCGGTTCCGACCATTGGTCTTGGATGACGTCGGGCTTGTCCCTCTACAGCAGGAATACTGAAAGATAGTAGTCGAAGAATGGGGACCATTTGTGGACCAGTTTCGACAATCTTGGGGCATGTTTTGACTACTGTTTAATTTCCTTCCAAAATCTGCCTGCAGGGGGGACATGCCCGACCTAAGTCTTGCAGCCAGTACCCTCATTCGCATCATGTCCCGAGCACAATTTGCCGAGAAGCGGTTCCCAGACTACTCCCAGGGCTCATCCTGGCCAGCCTTTCCTCTGGGAGAGTTGTCGACGGCCGTATAGCCCGAAGCGGGCTTCCAGAAGCCTTGCGATCGATTTGATCACAAAAAAAGCAGCGCGATGAGTCTCGGACCTCGTCGCCCCGACCCTTATTTTAGCCTAGGCCTCCCAGATGGGGTCCGAGTAGATGGGGTCGGAGGATTGCGCCGCATCGCCGATGCATCGCCGATGCGGCTCGATGTTGAACCGAGTTTCCCCGCGCCGACGTCGCCGGTGCATCGCCGATGCATCGGCGATACAGCGGCGATCTGGTGCAATTTCCCGACCCCACCTTGGAGGCCTCTATTTGCTCGCCCCGTCCATGGGGCGACCGAAGGCCGCGGAATTGCGCCGCCAGCTGTCGGCGCAGGACGAGGAGGGCTCCACCCGGCTGCAGGAGAAGGCTCCGTCTTCGGGAGCTTTGGGACGGGGGTCGATGCAAACGGGGGTCAGCCAGAGCGCCAGATCTTGCAGGATCCTGCAGGGCCAGGCTCCCATTGACCCGGGTTTGGGTGCAGGATCCTGCAGGATTTTGCAGGATCCTGCGCATTGACCCGGGTTTGGGTGCAGGGTCTTGCAGGATCTTGCAGGATTCTGCAAGCCCTGGCTGACCCGGGTCTTGGTTGACCCGGGTCAGGAGATCCCCGACGTCTGAACGCACGCTCTCAACAATCTCGGTTGGTTGTCTAATTTTAAGTCGGGCGTGCCCCTTTACATAAGGAATATATTGAAGAATCGTAAAAATCCTTTGGGAACGAGTGTTCGACTGTTCTGGTGTATGTCTGGTTATTTTTATCTGTTCTTCCAAAATCCGCCTGTAGAAGGTCATGCCCGACCTGAGTCTAGTTATGTGTTCCACTATCGTGTGTTCTTCTTCCCCCGATCTTCACCTGCCCTGAGCCCCCGAGAACAGAGAGCGGGGATGTTGGAGAGAGTGGAGAACGTGACAGAGCACGGGGGGAAAACCGTATGTCGTGTGGAGAGTTGAAGCATACAGTGTGAACCACAGAGGTTGGGAGCACGGCAAAGAGTGCAGAGAGCAGAAATCAGAGAGCGCAGCGTAGAGCGCAAAGAGTGTGCATGGGGAGGGTATAGGGTAGAGCGCAGAGAGCAGAGGATAGACAGCAGAGAGCACAAAGAAACGCATTCATCATGATTTGATCTCGCCCGCTGCCAGCGCGGTACATTACTTCAGCTTGCGAACGGGCAATTGTTTAGGGGGTTTTCTCTGGTGTAGCATTGTATGGCAAAAAGCATGGTTCGACACACGCTCAGCTCTATTTACCGGTTCGTTTACTCGCCGACTTGTACAATCAGCGTCCAGTCATTCACGACGCCCCAGATCTGAATACATTGATTATGTGTGTCTCCCATTTGTTCGCTCACTACCTCTCCCACTCACGCCAACTAGTTTACTAAGACACTCGTATTCGTAACGACGCATTGCTTTCTTCACCCATGAACTGTTTTCCTTCCCGTCGCCAGCCGCGCGTGTCAACATCTCCCTTGTTATGGTTAAAATATCTCTCTCTATATATATACATATATGTATATGTATGTGTATCTCTCTCTCTCTTGTTTTTTCTTTTTTCCCTCTCTCTCTCTCTCTCTCTCTCTCTCTCTCTCTCTCTCTATATATGTATATGTATGTATATGAATGTATGTATCTCTCTCTCTCTCTCTTTCTCTCTCTCTCTCTCTCTATATATTTATCTCTCTCTATCTCTCTCTGTATATATATATATATATATATATATGTGTCCCTCTCTCCTCCCCATCTCTCTCTCGCTCTCTCTCTCATCTCATCTCTACGCCGCCGTCTCTTTCTCGTGTTCTCACTCCCTCTCTCTTTCTCTCTCTCTCTCTCTCTCTCTGTCTCTCTCTCTCTCTCTCTCTCTCTCTCTCTCTCTCTCTATATATATATATATGTATGTATCCTTCTCTGTCTCTCTCTCTCTCTCTCTCTTTCGCTCTCCCTCTCCTTCTCTTACATATCTCTGTCCCCGTCTCTCTCTCTCTCTCTCTTTCTCTCCCTCTCTATGTGTCCCTCTCTCTCTCGTTCTCTCTCTCTCTCTCTTTCTCTCTCTCTCTCTCTCTCTCTCTCTCTCTCTCTCATCTCTTGCGCGTCTCTCTTTCTCTCGCGTCACCTCGTATGCTCTTATATTATGCTATGTTATGTATGATATGCATATCGTGTTTCTGTTCCCCTCTATCTATCCGCTTTCTCTCTGCTCTTCTTTGCTCTATCTCTCTCTCTCTCGTCACTCTCGGCTCTCCACTGACGCGCGCTCTCGCTCTCCATGGCGCTCTTTCTCTCTCTCTCTCTGCTTCTCTCTCTTTTTCTCATCTCTTTCCTCGTTCTCAATCTCTCCAGCTCCTCTCATCCTTTCTCTTTCTCTGCTCGTCTCTCTCTCATCCTCTCTTCGTCTTCTCGTCCGCGTTCTGCCCCTCCTCTCGATCTCCTTCCATCTTTTCTCTTTCCCTCCTCCTCCCCTACACACTGTTCATCTAGTATATGTCGCCCCCCACACCTTACGCAACTAACTCCCTGGAACACTTTTTGTTCATCTATCGCACTCTCTTGCTCTCTCATGTCTCTCCCTCCTCTCTCTCTCTCTTTCTCTATTCATCTCTCTCTCCTCTCTTCTCTCTCTCCTCGCTCCCATCGCTCTCGCTCTCTCCATGTATATATGTGTATGCTAATGTATGTATGTATAGGTGTAAGGGCAACTGAAAGGAAAGGGGCGAGCGACCTAGGGGGAGGAGGGGGAGCCAGGAGGAGAGGAGAGACTAGGGAGGCGAGGGTGAACGACCTGGCCGCGAGAGAGGGGGGGAGGAAGTAGGAGACAGCGGGGGGAGGAGGCGGAGGGGGTGGATTGATGTGAGAAAAAAAAATCCCGGTTTATGTATGTTTCTATATATGTATACCAGCATACATACATACATACATACGTACGTATATACACACATACATGCATACACACATATGCATACATGCATACAGACATGCATGCATGCAAACATATATTTATATATATGCATACATAAACGCCTGTGCGCAATTATATAACAGTATGTAACCGTGTTTGTCTCTCGCTATCTCCCGATGTAAGCCCAGGCCCTTTCATACAAAACAGCAACGCACCGTCATCTATCAATAGTTAGATAGCTACATCCCTCTATGCGTATATGTATATATATATATATGCGTCGATGCTTCATACGCATGCATTTCGCCCTATATATATATATACATATATGTATGTATATAGCAATGTGTATAGGTGTATCGCGTGGTTTCTCTCTCCATCTCTTGTTTATCTCGCTCTCCTCTCTCCCTCTCTCTCTACATATGTATATATATAGATCATTATCGTTCTCTCTCTCTCTCTCTCTCTTTCTGTGTCTCTCTACCTCTCGTTGTCTTCTCCCTCTTTCTCCGAGAGGCGCTGGCGGAGCAGCAGCTCCGCGACAGGTTGCGTGAGGTTGAGGCGCAGCTGAAGGAGGCGCAAGAGAGGTCGGAGGAGGACGGCGGCAGTTCCTACTTCTACCCACCTGCCGCGCGACCCCTCTTTGGCTTCAGGAGGCCTCGGCAGCGGCGGCCACCTGTCTCCTCGCCGTACGCCCTGCACAGCTGGGCATCGCTTCCAGTAGCCCTCACAGGGTCGTCGAGAGTGAATGCTGCCAGTCGCGGTGTTTGCACGGTTGCAGTCAAGAGGCCGACGTCAATCCGACATCCTGCTGCTTCGCCCCTTCCTTTCACAGAGCACAGCCTTCCTCCTCGCCCCTCCTCCGCGTCCTGCGTGTCCTCGTCCCCCCGCGTGCCCATCCGCTTCCTATTTGGCCCCGCTCCTGCCCCTCCGCCCTTCTCCTCCCTCCCCCCACCTCGCGAGCAGCCCCAGTCTCGGCAGCCTGCCCCCACAGTACGCTTCCAGAACTCCGGTGCCTTGGTTTCCGCGCGCTCGACCCCGGGCACTCACGCTGGAGCTCCGCGCCGTGGGCCGACAGCTGCGGGCCCAAAACCCCGCGACCAGCCCCCGCAGCGGCCCACATTCTAGCGCCATAGTCGGGGACTGCTGAAGGCGTCCCTGGGCCAAGATCACCCCAGCTTCTCGCTCCATGCCGGGACCCCGTGGGCCTTGTGAGTTGTGCTCCAGAGGCCGTGGCGGGCTGGCGGGCTTCGCTTCTGGCAACAGCCGACGTGAGGCCATCATCGTCTCTTCGGTCACCCGCTGGGGGGGCGGAGGTGGTCACGCCTGGCGCGTCGCGGCCTGGGCCAGAGCGGACGCCCGTCTCTACGGGGGCGGCGCGGGGGCGCGATGGCGCGAAGAGAATCGCGCGTCGCTGGGCGCGGTGCGCGAAGTCAGGTGACCCAGATCGTTGTCGTCGTCGACGGCGTCCTCGTCGCCGTCGCCATCCACAGCCGTGCCGGCTCGAGCGCCCAACCCGCGCAGGTTGGCCGCGCGGAGCTGTCGCAGCGCTCCCGCGGCGCGTGGTCCGGCGTGGTCTGCCGCGCGTCCAGCGGCCCAGGGGCACCGAGGTGCGCTACTGCGTACGAGTGGCTCTGGAGAGAGGACGAGGCGCAGTCTGGGGCGGCGCAGGGGCCCTCGAGAAGCTCTTCGGAGGCTCTTCCGAGGCTGTCAGAGGCTGTTCAGAAGCCCTTCAGAGGCTATTCAAAGGCTCTTGAAAGACTCTTCAACAGCCTTTTCAGAGGCTCTTCAGAGGCCCTTCAGAGACCTTCAGAGACGTTTCAGAGGCTTTCAAAGTCTCTGAGACGCCATGCAGATGCCTCTCAGACGCGCCTTCGCTCTTCGTGAGAGTTTCACGGAAAGCAGGGTTATGCCGGGGAACGGACCGCACAACCAGGGAACGAACATCCGTTTTGGAAATGGTCACCGGAGAACGGGGGAACGAACCGTTCAACCGGGGAACGAACCGTCCCACCCTCCCACCAGGGAGCGATTTTTTCTTCCAAGGGCCCCCCACCTGGACCCCCCCCTTCCCCGACAGGGAAGGTATCGAAGGGAAGGGGCTCCCCTTCGAATCAATTACGACGTTGTTTGATTTCCGTCTGTCTGGATCGCTTGAGGAGGAGGGCCCAGGGGAGGGGGGCAGCTGCGACAGCGACGACGACTCCAACGGATAAACGTTTCACATACGCTGACAGGGTGCGCAGATTTTGCTGCGACGCCAGCACGTCAGTCGTTAATACCAGTCCAGGTGTGTCCGCCTGGTGTTACCAGCCCATTTCTGTCGTATAGCTGATCATGTATTGCTCTCACCGCTGGCTGCCATACGTGCAATCTGGCCCACGCGCTTTCTGGACGCGAGGCTTCAGTCAGTCAGTCAGCCAGCATGTCTGGGTTCTTACCCTCAAGTCCCCCTCCCTTAGGCCTAAGTCGGGCTTGTCCCTCTACAGGAGGCATTTGTGAATTTTTTGTTTTTTTTTTAAAAAAAAAAAACAAAAAAAAAAAAAAAAAAACCAAAAAAAAAAAAAAAAAAAAAAAAAAAAAAAAAAAAAAAAAAAAAAAAAAAAAAAAAAAAAAAAAAAAAAAAAAAAAAAACGGGGGACGATGCTCCTATTATGTTTCGATGAGTTTGGCGCATGGTTGGACTATCCCTTTTCTTGGCGTCCAAAAATCCCCCCTGTGGGAGGACACGCCCGACTTGACCTTATTAGGGCCCCAGCTCTGCACCGCCGCCCCCGGCCCCCCGGCGCGCGGCTCGGCCCGCCGGGGTCCGCGGCCGGGCTCCCCGGAGGGGCCGGCGCCCGTCGCCGCCGCCGCGGGGCCTCGCGGAGGCGACGACGGGCGGAGCGGCCCCGAGCGGGCAGGCTGCGCTCTCTTCGCCGGGGAGCCCCGCCGAAGGTGTGTGGACTCCTCCTCCTCCTCCTCCTCCTC